GTCTTTACGAATCTCTGCTTTTTAATGTGCACAGGGAATGTAGGAATCTTATATTTGGTACAATTTTCATCTTTCAATCTTCGTCTTTTAATTTTCGTCTGAAGAGAACAAATAGTTCACCGAATTATCAGGGTGGATCAATTTTAAACCCTCATAGCAAGTTAATATTAAACCGGTGAGCAAGGAAAACAGATTAGTTTAAGAACACTAAATGTTGTAACGTCCAAAATGATAAGACTAAATTTGTACGGTTTCATTACACCCGGGTGCGTATTTTTAGATGGAAATTAGTAAAGTGTGAGTGTCGATAGTATGAAATGATAGATTTGTTTACCTAGATCAGCTGGGATTTTACAAGTAGAATAAACGAAAGCCCAATAATCAATGACGGCTCCAGAATCGAACAACAAGATTCTACTGATCTTTCCCATTGTTGAAACCTACTGTAAGTAATCGAGCACCATATTGACTTGAACCATTTTGACCATATGAGTTGAATGAGTTAAACTCACAGTTTGGTAACCACAAACTGGTCGCATTTCGCCATTCAAAACTTGTTGAACGCCCGTTTCGCTGATTTCACCGTCGGCTCTGCCGAAGCGTCAGCTCGGCTTACACTTGATATGGACTTTAATACTTTGCAAGGGGATCTCGTAACTTGTGATGTTGACGGACTGGATCTCCAGTAACTCGGAGTTTGACCAGACAGTCATGAGGCCAGCGTCCCCAGACCGTATCACACTCTACTTCAGTTCTGCTTGATTTCAAGTGATAGGACTGGTCTGTAGCTAACTGATGTTGTAAGTATCCTTCTGGCTTGCTAGTATTCACTAAGTATCCTTTGGCTGAGTCAGAATATTCTTTCTACTTATAGACCATATTTACTAAAATTTCGTTTTATTCTCCAGTATCCTTGTTACCAAGTGGTTTTCCAGATTTATCTTCTGGTGATATTATCCACGTACGGCTCTGTGTTTGTATATTCAAATATCCCTCTAGCTACGTAGTAGTCTCCTCTTTTAATTCTTGTAGCTAAGTGATAACAGTATGACTTCTAAATTACGATTATATTTCCCAAGAATAATCTGAATGCGTAATGGATGGTCATATTCGCGACTTACACTTCTAATCAATGTAATTCTCTTGGTAAAGAAATTCAATCTGGCTAAGCGATATTTTCCAGGAATATTTCAATATCCCCGTAAGTAACTTTCTTTACCTACCCTTTTGGCAAATCACCATTTTGCAAATTGAAATATCCTCCAAGCTTATTCATTTTTTTTTTGCTGTTGTACGATTCGTGTTATTCTTCTGACCTGTATGTTGGCAAATATTGCTCCTATGGTTATAATTTAACTCTTTTAGTCGATTAAAATTTGTATGTACCAAATTGTGTCATGTGAAACGTTGAACTCTGAAAACTTGTATTTTAAAGAAGCTATTATTGCATCAGAACATGTAGTATGGCAATACAAAATTCTATCAGACTTTGTTCGAGAATCTTTTGTTTCGAGACTCCTAGGTCTTCATTGTGGTAACTAACTAAACAAAACTTCATTGTTGTAACTAACTAAACAAATTAACAAAAAGAACTTGTATTTCTAAACTCAGAGTAAATTTAACATTCCCAACAAAATACAGTCCACTATTTAAAGTTTCCTTGGCATAATATGCAACATTTTCATAAACAGCAATACTAGTAAATACTAAAAGTATAGTACTCCTAACTTATTGTAAAACTATGCACTATACCATACCATTTTTCACAGTTCAATACCTTTCGTGCTTATAATAGTTCCTCCACCGCATTCGCATCTGATAATGGTCGAGGGGTTCAGCTATTTTTACCGCGAGAATCGGCATGGAACTGAATAGTCTAAACACCAGCTGTTAGGTGCTGTAAAACAGCTGATAAGTAGCAAACACGCGGTATATTTAGCACCTTTCAACAGTCCGTGATACGCGAACCTTGAACCTTCCCGCGCGTTTTATTGGCCGAGGTGGATATTGAGGGATTACTAGCGTTTTTCAGTTGATCATTTTCATTTAGGGTTTTGAGCGTGGTTTTTAAAGTTTCTGATCCTAGGCACCATTGTAAGTTTTAGTGGTTTCAATCGCTTTCCCTTGATAGAGTTAATAGTTCTCAATTACAAGATCACCCTCTTGTTAAAACTATCAGGCAAGTAAAAATGTTGGATTATCCTTGAGAACTAAATTCACGTCAAATTATAATATATTTTGTATCATTCTTCACAGGTTTTGGAAATTTTATATTTTTACATAAAATTATTCAAACAAAATAACATGTTTTAACAGAGTAAACAGAATTCATTCCATAGCATGGTCAGGTTTTAATTTTTTTTGGGTGGAAGGTAAAATGTTAGTTTGTACTTAAATTCTAAATTCATCTAGAACACTGTTAGAATAAATTTTTTTATTTTTGTGGAATTCATAATAACACAAAATATACAAATGATGATATTATTTTAAATTTTAATGACCTTATAGTTGATAAGCCTATTGATTGTTGTATCCCGAAATAAAGAGAGAAAGCAGAGATGAGAGAAAAAGTCGTCCCTTTCTTTGGTTCTTTTGAAAAAAATGAAATAGAATTAGCATTTACCAGAAATTAATTAGATGCTGATTTCTTTATTGAACTAAGTAAAGAGCACGAATGTTATCAAAAATACAATAGAAATGCATTATTTACACGATGGTGAAACAATTGGTAGTTTGCAATTATTAACTCTCAAAATTTAGATTATATGTTTTGTTGGTCATATGTCAACATAGGTTTATATATCACTAATCTATATTTATAAAAGATGAAGTTTGTGTGTATATATATTTGAACGTTATGGACTCCGAAACCGCTCGAAAGATTGTAATGAAACTTTCAGGCATTATTAAGCATTATTCAAGGATGGTTTGTGTGAAGTTTGGTGCAGATCCGCTAAAGGGGCTCCGCCCTAGTATATAACAAAACGGGACAGTTGACAAATCTTGTATGTTTAGATATATGTTTAAATTATTTCAGTCTTACCTTGATTATCCTATAACAGTCGAAAAGTGGAAGTAGAAACAACAAAAAGTGCCCAATAACGTTTTACTGTACTCTGATTAACAGTAATATTTAGAATATCCAAGTATGAAGGATTAAATAATACCCCAATGAGCGACATATTTGGTGTTAAACTTGGATATATGTCTATTTGACGATAAAACAAAGGTCATTGTGTTGTGGGGTTGTCGCTGGCGGCATTTCAGGTAAATGTTATCAGGTCAGTCGACAATGGTAGCTGCAAATGGCTTTCAAACATCGCTCATCGCTCTAGTCGATAAAATAAAACTCTCTTTACATCCTTGGTTACCTAGTTACCTTGATGTTCATATTTGTTGCATACTAAAAGCTCTTAGTAATTATAGCATCAACGAACAAACTAGGAATCAAACGATACCAAGTTCAAAAAGATCGAATAAGAAATAGCTGAAATATTACGATTTTTAGTTGTAAAATGGGGTAGAATAAGGCAGAAGCTGGTCAGGTTTGCCCCATTTTACAACTAAAAATCGTAATATTTCAGCTATTTGTAATTCGATCTTTTTGAACTTGGTATAATTTGATAGGGAATTAAAAATGCTAAATTAAAGTGTTCTAGACGTTTTTTTTTTTCATAAAATCAGCCGTTTTTTAGTAATTTAAGTTTAAAAAATTTAAATGACCACCATTTCAAATTTTTTAAATCTAAAATGGGTCTCTTCTACCTTAACATACATACCAAGTTATTTAAAGATTGGTTGAAAAAGTCCAAAGATAAAAATGTTTATGTGAAAAATACAAAATGGCGGATATCTGGTTAACGAAGCGATTTTGGAACAAATGTTATACGTGATTTTTCTCTTTATTTTCACCCATGGAATCACTAGGTAAAATATGTCCCCACCTTGTTTGAACACCATGTATAAGACGAATACAAAATTAAATCTCGTCACCTTTAAAAAAAAACTTTCTATCTCCCTGCGCTAAATTCTAAAACACTTTTTTAACCTGTGTGTTCACATATAGATTGTGTATTAAATACTATATTTATGGTAACTGATTTGAAGAAATAATCGCAAGTTAAGGTGGAAAGCCAAGCTAATGACTCAGGGCGGTGCCTCGCTGACCTAGTCTGTAGACTGATCGATCACCCTTAGATTGAAGCCACTAAAGCAAACACCCTTTGATGGGGCGGTAAATCAACACCGAGGGAAAAATGTGCGAAGATACGTCTCTTGTTTGTAAAAACAATCATAGAACTTCCTACTATCTGTTTAGATAATTTACCAATCAAATTCAAGATTATATACGAGTATATTTAACAAGAATTAACACATCGTACTTTTCTTTTTAATGTAAAATTGCAAATATTTTGAAGGATTCTATTTGTTCTTATAGCCGGTGAAACATAAATGTTAAACCTTTACATGATCTTATGTGTATGAGAAGAAAACCTTTAACAGTGCCGTGTTTCGGTTTATCCGTAGCTTACTGTTAATTTGTAAACATTTTTCGCATCCATACCCATACTCATATTCCTCATATATCCATACTCATGAACCATAACGTATAACCATCGGCTTTAAATACTTTCAGTAAACTGCACAGCCTTATGTCAACTCTGAAGGATGTTTTGGTATATTTTTCACTAAAGGCTTAAAATTGAATCGTTTTTAGCTGATCCATTATGATAACAATTCCATTTGAACGTATATTTCACATCACGTCGCTGGCCCGAAATTAAACATGTTTGTATTATTACTGAAATGAAAGATTCAAAAAACGTCCAAACCAGCGGATACGATAATTAGTATAAGATTTGGGCCAGTGACGTCATTTTTTATGTTTTTAATTCATAGTGTTTCTGTTCTAATATCAGTGTGTTTATTTTGAATTGTGACATTACATTATTTGCTGATATTGGGAAAGTTTTTTTAACAATTCTATCTATCTGTTCCAGGCTTGTGCTCCCCGCTATGTGTGGTACTCTACCCAACTCAATCGTCGAGACCCTGTAGGCACCTGCTACGTGGCGAAAAACCAGATGACTGACTTTGCTGAGTTCTCCCCCTGTCGGACCCGTGAGTACCTTAGCTTCTTTGTACAGTAATATAAATATATAAACTTCTAATTTGTAATATTAAGCACCTTCCCAAAGCTAACACCCTATCAAAAGCTATACTCAGTGTGCCCTCAACCTACTGAAATTTTACGAACACATATTTCATACACTTCAAATAGTCCTGCAGGAAAACAAGCATTTCCAAAGTGTTTAGTTGCCACACAAACCTGGAATTGTCAAATCTGGCCGATCTCTTATGCTTGAACTTTTTTTCTTCTTGCCCCCTATGGACATACCAGAGTGTCTTGCTTCTTGTAGCCCCTATGAATCCTGACATACCAGAGACATTTTTTGAAGACCCTGTCGTGCTTCTTATATCTCATTTGGACCCTAGCATACCAGAGACTGTATGAACACGGTAGTGGTTCCTGGAGCCCCTATGGACCATGGCATACCGGAGACTGTATGCACTCTGTCGTGCTTCCTGGAGCCCCTATGGACCCTGACATACCAGAGACTGTATGATCTCTGTCGTGCTTCCTGGAGCCCCTATGGACCCTGACATACCAGAGACTGTATGAACCCTGTCGTGCTTCCTGGAGCCCCTATGGACCAGGGCATACCGGAGACTGTAGGAACTCTGTCGTGCTTCCTGGGGCCCCTTTGGATCCTGACATACCAGAGACTGTATGAACTATTTCGTGCTTCCTGGAGCCCCTATGGATCCTGACATACCAGAGACTGTATGAACCCTGTCGTGCCACAGAACCACCTTGTCCTCATGTCGTGTCTATTAATTATCCATCAGCCAATTACTCGCGCCGGTTTGTGACAGCTGGTTATTAATGAGTCCGCTAATTGATAAATGAGCCGGGTTAATGAGCTGGACTCCCGTCTGTCTGGGTGTCCATGGTTATGACTTCGAGAAGAACTATCTGGGTGTCCAAGGGTTAGACGTCTAGAAAGTGCAGTGTCGAGAAGTCCCAGTGGGCCGAAAACGTTCGGAGTCTGTTTTAGGACTGCATCCTCACGTCTAGAAAAACTTTGTGGGAAATACTGTATTGAAGTTAAAATGGATAAATGCTAATAAATCAGGTTGGCTGTTCAAGGATATGACTTTGAGAAGAAGTGTCAAGATGTACAATCGTAAAACAACTAACGTGTACGCATGGGTGTACATGAGTATAACCTCTAGGAATACTGTCTGGGTGTTCATCGGAATGGCATATAAAAATCCCTTCCCAGTTTGGTAGCCCAAAGATTACCATGTAAATCTGTCCGGATATTCGGGGGATATCATAGAGCTATATAGAAGTACTTCAAGATATTTCCAAATATATATGGATGCCCATAAGGATGCCTTCTAGAAGCACTGACTTTCAGAAAAATGTTGAGTAATTTAGAGTGCGTCTAGGGCACCACCTGGGTTTCAAAGATTATGTCTAGAAGTATTATCTAGTCGTCAAATAGTCATACTACAACAGACTACCTCTTGGAAGTGAGGAAATGGATTACCGAATTTAATATAGGAGGCAAGGCGACTGAAAAGTTGATATAGTAGTTAGGAAAATCGTTTGAAGAACGAAAAATGAAAATAGACAGGGGCTTCAAGGTTTTTTTACCGGTCCATAATGTTGTTAATGATGAGGCGGTGTTTGGGAAATCGTATTCACCTACAGGCAAAGTATGTTGAGAATATGCCTATACTATAAGCTTTATGATGGGTTTGAATGTTGATTATGGAAATCAGCAGCAAAACCAATTAATTCATTGGATCTGTTTATTTGGATCAATCATTTGGAATTTTTATGTTGATTTTCGAAATTTGCGTTTTCAAAGTATGTTGGTGTGCCATTCATTTGTTAGTTGTTGGGTGGACTTTGAGGTTAATCATAGCAAATTGTTATGGGCTGAATTTGCCATACTATTATTTTTCAACGAGGTTTGTTTTACAAAACTTAACTACTGTATCGAATATAGTATACCTACTACACTACTGTACCGGCTCGGGGGCTTCCCATTCTACCTTTACCTCGCCGCCCAGCCCGTAATATTTTTTGCAATCGTAAACAACTCGGACGCGCATGAGTGTTCTAATTTCCGGCCCAGAACAATATCCGGGTACAGCTAATGTACCATTGTCATGTCTATTATGGTCTGTGTTTGTGAAATGTGTTTATTAAATCTCTGGCCGGCGTGGGCAATCGTTTGAATTTTAATAAATACTTTGGCTGTGACAGTGTTTTGCTGTATGCGCTATTGTGCTTTGTTTTTTACCCTTTTTTTTGTATTATTTAGTTACGACGAAATCGCTGATCTACTAATACGTTACTGACAAATGAGTCATGTGTATTTTGGAGCATTTGTTGGTCACTGAGGAGATCTTAGAATCGTTGTGGAACAAGTGTTGTCTCCATTGTTTTGGCACTCACAGCGTGAACTCATTCTTTTACTTTGTTTATTACTGGATATAACCACGGCCATCTTTAAATACTGATATAACAATACATACCACAAGGCATGAGTTCTTAAAATACTATCCCCAAGTGTATGGTATGGATGTCTAGTATTGCATGTATATGGGTATGGGGTCCGAAATAACTGTCTAGGTATCCAAAGGTAGTGATTTCAGTTCTTTGTGTTTGGATAGGTATACATAAACATTAAAGTGTTTTGTTTTACTTGTTGCACAATAATCAATTATATAGCCCTTTTGCTATTTACATTAAGAGATTTACCAAAATAAAAATTTGTATATACAACAAACATACCAAAATGCAACCAAACAACTGGAATTCATTGCAAAGCTTTCCTGTGACATGAGATTTGTTTAGGTAAGTTTAGACGAATAAAAGTAAAAACAAATCGATTCAATTCAAACGGGACGGACAAATGCGTATCCGTCCGTGCGGACACGTGGTTGGCAGTCTTGGTTGTCTTGGGTTGTGGTGCTCGTACATACCATTGTTGCACTATCACCACAGTACACTATCTACTATCAGCATCGCTGAATTCCAACACTCGGGACACCAGTCTCTCCTCTAGACGACACTGATAGAAAGGTTCACACTGACTCCTGTATTCCAAAGGTTTCCGATCATTTAAGAGTCGGAAAGCAACTTCAGCTAAGTTTTCTGGAAAGGTATTGTGGATACTAGGATCGTTATTGGTTTTAATGTCGGTTTTTTTCGGAATCCTTTACTGTCAAGAAGCTATTGTCACATGTGGGCTGTTAGTTAGTTAGGGTTAACAACTAAAACTGTATTTGGAACTTATTTTAAATGCATAGGCCTACGTGAAATTTTACTAAAATATATTATTTTCGTTACAATTTTGGACTTAAATATTTCAACTTTCGATTTCAAACCCAAGGGAGGACTAATTTAAAATCCTTTTTTGTATAGTTTGTTAAATGTCGTAAATGTTTTTCATTGCTATTCTTATATTTGGCTAAAATAACCTAATGAGGTTATGTAGTCATTCAAGTGTTTAGAGAGTGTCAAATATTTCTTTACTATCCGCGATAACGTTGCTTATCTAAGATATTCTCATCAAATTGACGTATGAGGCCTCAAATCATTACACAGCCTTTCCCAATTAAAATATTCTGACAAGTGTTTACATAGGGCAGTGTTTTAGAGCCGTTTACTTTATTATATGATTTAATTAACGCAGTCATCCATTATTTTACTAATATTCTTGGTCAAGTGCCATTGGTTGAAACGAGATGCAAATCGCAAATGCCCCGAGAAAACTATCCTAATTAAGTTATAGTTCTACATTTGGAAAGTTTCAATTTACTTCCTCAATGCTCGTTCATAGAATTTATTTTGGTTGCAATAATTTTGGAAGTGTTCTCCAAATTATTATAACACTATTTTTAGCTCTCAAACATACAATTGAAAGTTTTTCTTATACTGTTTATTTTATTGATTTGTGTGACGTATTGCTAATTAACTTTTCCAAAAACAGCATTGATTACTGTCTGTTGTCTAAATCAGACGCTTTTCCTTGGATTCAAATTCTGAAGGCAGTCGTATCTTTTATATAAAACCACTAGTATCGAAAACAATTTCTTAGGTTGAAAACGATTCGAAAGGTTTTTAACACATTCACTAGGTGATACAAGACTCAACATACAGATGAGTGTAACGAACGTATTAAGGCAACGTGTTAAGAAATGAAAAAAGTATTCCATAGAAAAAGAAATTGCAACCGTGGGACATCCCAAACAAAACTCCTTGCATATTTGTAAAACGTTCATTAAACTATAATAAATCTCCTCATTCAAGCTAGAAACATTCTACTTCTAAAACCCATTATTCTGGAAAAACTCTTTGTTGGAATTATCCATAGATAGTTTATACTTGTCGTAAAACACAATCGGCAAGTCCCGAATTTTCGGGTACAAAAGGGACATGAGGGTCGGTCCCAAACATCTGGGGGATGGGACGCTCCCTGCAAGCTATAAATAGATGTTAACAGCCCCAGATGTGGTGTTGTACCCTTGTATAACAAAAGTAACGGGGTGTGGACAGCATAGGCCTGACAAGTGGGGTGGATAAAAAGTAGTAAAAAAACTAACCCGCGTAAATTATTTTGACATTAAGTACATATGGATATCTTTGGGAGCTACACGCTTTTGAACAATTACCTTATAGTCTAATGGTAAATGTACAGTGGTTTTTAATTGATTTCTTATTTAAATCTCTCAAGTTGTTGTAAATATGTAGGAGATCTAACTGTCCCTCTCACGCCGATGTTCGAGATGTAGTTTTAGGTAACAACTAAATGTTAACACCCAATACGTTTTTGTCAAAAGTACATCATTGCACTTATATTAGTTTTATAATTTATATTAATATTTTATACGCAAAAGAGGGCTGGAGTAGGACAACCAATCAGTGTCATGACATTTTTTTCATATCTCTTTCATCAACCACGTCAAAGAAACCAACAAGCCACCCGTGAAAGTGAAGACTATTTTTTACTCAAAATCTTTGAGGAGGGATCTTTCGC